AAGTCAAATAATACTGTTACAGAGGCCAAGTGCAGACTATTTTTTACATAAATATATCTCATAAGTGACGAATTATGTCTGCAGGACTTCTGTAAAGGTACTTCCAAATGGCATAGTAGTGAACAGCAGCTGCTGTGGCCACAAACATGTGCCAGATGGCATGGGCAAAGGGGATGACTCCATCGCTCTTGAAGAACACCACACCCAGACAATAGATCAAGCCTCCCCAGGCAACCTCCTGAAGTCCATCAGTGTTGCTCTGTCAGTGAACAAGGAAAGATACGGGATAGGGTGTAGAGAAGGAAAAAGGTATTTTATATACAAAATACAAAGTGATTTCCCCCCCAAGAGAAGAACTCTGGCTGTCATAGCTCAGAACATCTTGGATATGCCAGATGGACAAGTGAAAAACCAAGTATATTTATATTACATTTTGTGAAATATGTAGTATATCAGTAGCACTATGGAAGTAATAGTGGGGTAGCTTGACAATTATGACAAGCTTGATGCTTTGCTTCATGCTCGCTACCAGAGCAGTCAAAACATGGTGAGAGAAAACCACATTATTGTGTGTAAGGGTGACTTTAATGCAATTCCTACTAGTTGGGGGAAACATCCAGCAAGATTTTGGTATACCAAAAGGTACTTCACATCTCTCTTGTTTTTACTGAAATGGAAGTAATTGAATTGGTACGTCCAATATCCTTTCAGAAGCAAGTGTCTCAGAAGTGAAGTTTGAAACTTAAGCTCTTTTTATCTAGAACCTGCAGCCCAGATTGAAGAAAACAGGTAGCATTTACTGAAACGTAAGTTATAAACCCAACATACAACTGACTATATTTGGTTCTTCTGCAGAGAACATTTACAATTATGGCAGACTAAAATTAACATCTTTACAGATGAAAGAGACCTGCACTGAAACTTAAGCTAGTTATAAAAGGAAAGTCTGTGTGTTTGTAATGTTAATAGTCACATTCCTTACCATGGATGTCACTACCAGAGCAGGAGAAAATCCCATCGCTAGATAGAAAAAGAGTTCAACAATCTTATACCTAAAAAGGAATGATTGGAGCCATTTAAGGAGGTGTACAAGAGGAGGAACATAAATTTTATATTAGCATGGGTCCCTTAAACTATTCAAAAAGCTTTCTGTGCAGATAGATAACCAATAATAAAGCTCGTATTTATCTCTGCATTGTACAATTACAATCAATACCTTCTTCTGTAAATACTGCCTAGGTGCATTCAATTGCATTAAGTACTAGTGAGAATGAAACATAGAGACAACTTGTATTTTCTTACTGGACAAGAACCCCAGTGTCTCATCTCCAAAACAAAAAAGTTGGGTCTTGCTCCCTGAGGACAGGTAATGAAAGCAGACTCAAGAATTCAGATCTGTACTCAAGGACTCATCTCAAAACAAAAGCCAGAAGGCTGGATAAGAACATTCATAAAGCAAGAAGGCCCCCACCCTTCAATTTTTTACCTTTCAGTTCAAGGTTAAATGCAAATAATAATTCTTACTTTTCATGGTAGAGAAATACATAAATGGTTCCTCCAGCAGCCATCAGCCAGATAAACCAACGCATGTGAGATGCTAGAGGTCCAAGCTCACGTAGATTTAACCTTCAGGTACAAAGATTTCAAGAGACAAAAGTGATGAACAAATGGACCATACTGACAAAAGAGGAGTAAATAAAAATAAATGAATATTCATAGCTATAACTTAGGCATGATGGGGGAGAAGAGACTTAGACATTCTATACAGAGAGGCAGAAGATGCATTTGCATTGATGTGAGGGAAGAATGAACTGTCATATGTGGAATATAGATAAATTACTTTCTGTTCAGCAAATCACAAGAGATTACATTAGGTTGTATTTTGCAATGCAGAATGTGGTCAGCTGTACCTAAGAAGATACCTCTAGATTTCGAAAAGCCACAACCATGACCTGTTTATATTGGAAAAAGCTTTAATTCTGAAGCTGTGCTTCAGATTTCTTACCATGGTGCATATGATGCTGCAATGAAGACATAGATCATCATCCTGTCACACATGTGAAAGCAATGCTCCATTGTCCTGGTAAGACAGAACACGTCACCAAGTTAGATTTTTGAAAGATTTTTGTGTCATCTCAGTTCCGTGACAAATTTAGAATTACTTTGGGGAAAATATCATCCGCTCCAGAAGCTCTTAAAACCATTTGTTAGACTGTTCAGCTGACAAAAGGCTTTAAGTGGAATATGTAGGAGACGAGCACTCCTGCATTCCTCTTCCCTTCTTCACTGTTAACTAGTGACCACTGGTTAGATCCAACTTACGGCCCAGAATTATATAGGAGTCTTAATGGGACCAAAACTATAAACATAAGTAAATCACATCTTAGTTTTGCTGTTGCTGCCTTGCTCCCAAGGAGGCTTCCTGCCAGTTAGCTGTGTATGGTATTATAATTCTCTTGGCAAACTCTGTGTTCCTGAAAGTATTTGAGCATGCCATAGTCGCAGACAGTGTTCTCATTTCTGCAATGGGATCATATTCACTGTGCACTTAGATAATGATTTTCCCACTCAAGGGCCACTAGGGCCTAGAAAAACAGCAGACATTTTGTCTAAGAGCTTGGCTCACTATTTCTTCCAACAGAATCGCGGGTGGTTTTTCATGATTCAGTACATGGTATCACTCCAGCCTTCTGTAAAATCATCAATGCAATGGAAAACTATCACAGCACATGAAAATAAAACACCTCCTACATCTTACAGTGATACCTTAAGTGACTCTTCTTCCAGGAAACGATATGGAACACTGTGGAGACAATGAAGAGCGCGCAGAGCCCAACGCCGTACATCCATGCTGTTATCTTTTCCCATCGATCATCAGAGAGCCGGTGGAGAAGGGCACTGCCCACAATCGCGGGAACAATGAGGAACTAAGGGAACAAAAGGCCACTGTTCAGTCTTTTCTGGCAGCCAGCACAGTACCACCCACAGTACAGCACCAGCAGGGCAGAGACCACGGCAGCGTGCCTGCTGAGACCGTACACATCCGACAGTCGGTGACGTGCTCTGAACCGGAGCAAGTTTCTCCTTTAGTTGTGCATTGACACACGAGAGTCCTGACCTCATGAATGTCTCAGACGACTAGATTATACCTGTTTGTGATAAATTTCTCCTTTCATGGTATTAGGCTAGGTTACTAGCTCCTCTAGCCATGACAAAATCAGACAAAAGAATCTGCTACATCTTCACAGTGGTTTTATGTTCACATTCGGGTTTGTGTTTAAGAACTCTAAGCTTGGTCCTAAATCACCTCTTGAGCATAGAGGCAGAGGATGGGACAGGCCAAAGTAAACTTAAATCCCAAATGGAAAAACAAAGCACCTAGAAATATGACGTTAAGAGAATTAAGCAAAGGCTTTGCAGAACTTGGGTTTTAGATATCATAAATAAATAAATTGCAAACTTCTTTTATTAATACCTTCTACGAAGATGTTCTTTTAGTGCAGTGTATCTAAGTCTGTTCTCCTTACCAGCTGCCTCTCGAGCAGCTTTAATTCAGATCTTCCAAAGCAACCACTTTCAGAACATCATGATGGAATTAGCATCTTCACATAAAGCATCCAAGAAGTGGGCTTCAGGCTTCACATACATTTGTGGAATATCCCCTTTCCAGAATAAATGACATCATATAACTTTGCTTCATTCAGGGAAAAAAACCTAACTAGGAAAAAGGAGGGGGGGAAGGCATGTCCAACAAGTATTTTAAGAAAAGAACTTACTGGCTCAGACATTTCTACCCATCTCCTTCCACTACCAAGGCATATCTCCATATCTTTCTTAGCCTTCTAAGTTAAAAACACTACACAAGTTCCCTTCAGGGCTCTACGATGTGTCTTAAGCTGTCAATTTGTTCGCCTGAACTGTGAATAAGCTTCATATGTTAAATTCTTCATAGTTGAACCCAAGTCCTACATGATCAACAATAAAGCTAGGATCAAAAAGTGTTTAAACAGATCTGGCAGCTCTGCTTCGCATTACAGCTTTGATAAGCTCAGAGGGCAGAGTTCTGGTGTAGCCTGCACTGTCTTTGTCCTTTATCTGCTTAGAGACTAGAAGAAACCGAGGTTCTGGTCACAGCTATGATGCAGGACATGCAGAGTAGTTGGTTAATCCAGTTACCAAAAAACAAACAAAAAAGGTGAGTTTTAGTTCTAGGTTTGAAGTACATTAACCATAGCCTCGTTACTGTTGTATTTTCTTCCTTTTTGAAGAATTTGCTACATTTATACCAAAAGGTGTAGAGCCATGGAAGTGAAAAGTATGGTATTCCTATAGCCACAGCATTTGGATCAGAGGTGAAAACGCTTTCTGAGTTTCTGTAATGAGACTGTGGAAGTTGACCTCATGCACTCTAAGGACAAAAATAGTCTGCCAGCCTGGCTTGTTATTTATCACAAACCATAAATTTCCATCTACATATCCTGGACAGCCCCCAGATTCAGGAAAGGTTAAAGTGTTTCAGTCCTCAGGGGATTAGTCACTCCTGGTTTCCACATATGACATACAGTTTAAAGTGTGGCTGAAGCCCTTGAGACAGCAAGGGACTGATTAGCTGTGGCAGTTGCTTCGTTCAGTTTTTGCAGGAGACAGGAATACTAAGCTCCAGAAACAGCTTTTTAGCCATGTTTCTTTAAGCTGTGCAGTCAGACTGTATCCGTGTTCATCAGGTTCCTTCCCAATTTCTAGAGCAAATTTCAGTTTTGACTGAACTAACTAAAAGGTTTCAGGGAGATTATGCACCCGCAAGTATCATGAACACAAGTACTGGGTAAAATAGCAAATCCCTACTAATTCCCTACTGAATGCCTGGGCATAAGCTGCTCAGAGAGTCTGCCTGGAGCTCTGACTGAGACCATTTTATAGGAAGGAAGACCTCTTTGGAAACCAGCTATTACACAGGACAACTTGCCTTTCTTACACCGGTATCCCAGCTTTTTCCAGTCTACCAAAATAACTATTTCACAACTTAAGCTATGATGTGTAATGCTCAAATGGGCCAACACAGACTTTGATGTCAATCACTCTTTCCAGTAATTATTGTATATAAAGTTATAGGATTAAAACAAATAATACGTTTTCTTTGCATCTTTAGAATGAAGAATACAGCTACAAATGAGTACACGAATGAAGACCTGAATTAATCTCTTTTGCCTTGTCTTAACTCTGAAGAATGATTCTGCTTCTCACAGGCAGCAGCACTATACTACCATAAGAAAGATTTATTGTTTTTTCTAAGCATTCTATTTGGAAACGCTTTTCTCTCTGTACCCGATATGCATCATGAGGGCAGTTAGACTAAACAAGAGATGTTTTATTACTCTTTTTCTGACCAAAAATAGCTAGACTAAAGACAAAATCCAGAAATGATACCCTGCTGGTCCAGCCAACTGGAAAAGGGTTCTTCAGATACTAATGTCGTAACAGATAACATATGCTACAAGGGACTTCATTATATCAAACATCCATCTTCTGAAATAAATGTAACACTTTAATCAACAAAACAAGGCAGATTTTTCCATGTTCATTTGAAAAAAACCCCAATCTTTAGTGCAAGAACTGCATTTTAATCTTCAGAAGGGAGAAGCAAGCAATCAGTCCCTTAAAATGAGGCGTATTCACCAAAAATTAATCAAGGAATCAGAACTAATAGAATGAGTGTGATTGCAGCCACTGCAAAAAGCCTGAAGGCACAAAGATAGATGCTGAAAGGTGCTAAATCTTCCACCTATCTGGGGTTGCTTAGGATACTGGTACGTTGGTCAGTATTTTACTGCATTCTTTCTGTATTTCTGTAGACAAGCTCTCCCACTGAGAGGTTTAAAAATCTGTTAAAGTTGTGCTTTTGTATATAACATTCATGGCAAAGTAAGTTATTTCCTTTGCACGCAGGCTGTGCGCGTCATATAGCCAGCAATGACTTGCGATGCACAAGCCACTTTAGCAAAGAATGGTGTTATTGTTGCAATGGTGTTATTGTTGTAGTGGTGTTATTATTGCAATCTTATGTGCCTCTCATTGAGAGGGAAACACTAACATAGAGATGTTCCCCACACTTCCTCTTGGGAAAGGAAGACGATAGAATGATCAACAAAGCAGCCAAAATCACATGTGACACTCAGAGGGAGCCATGAAGGACTGTGTCCATCTCAAGCTGCACACTCCAAAGCACAGTCCTGAAGCCAAGTATAGTCTCCCTACTCACCAGTTTTCTCCTCCCAGATCAGGAGATGAGCATGGCAGAGTGGGAAGCCCACCACTAACTTGTGTTAGCCGATACACAGAGAGCAGAGAAACTGCTTGTTTCGGTCAGGTAGAACGGAGATGTTTTCATCACAGGAGCCCTTCTGAAATCTAATGAGCCTTTCTTCCATGCTCAAATGGCCTGTTAAGTGCTCCAGGCCTCGTTTTTGAAATATTTATACTTCTTTCTTCTTTTTAACATGCACTGCACAAACCATGACTGGAATTTAGAGGCTGTAACTTACGTTAAGAATAGTTCCTCCTTTTAAGGCAGTTGGAAGAAACTTTCAGAGCAGTACAAAGCAAGCTGTGCCTAAATTCTGAGGGTTTAACACAGCAAAGCATATCTTTTGTCTGATAAACCTTATGTACACTAGAAGGTTTCATGGTGAAAGAGCTATCCCTCCCTTTAGATTTAGCTTACAACTCAAATTCTTAGAACTCCTGCTTCTCTCATACACTGTTTCCTTCCTGTTCTTCTGAACACAGCGAGCAGTCTTTTCTGTCTCTGTATTCAACTGCTTAGCTGCCCTTCCTGCCTCCTTGTGTCTAAAGACAAGTCAGTGCTTCATTTAAAGCTAAAAAAGTCAAGGCATTTTAAAGATCCTTACTAACTAGAAATTTGAAGATACCTTTACTACGCTACATAAAATTACCTTTCAAATATTGTACCAAAAAGCTATGCATGGGGTTATGTATCCCCACTTATTGTAGCAGTTTTGGTTGGTTGGTTTTTGGGGTTTTGGTTTTTTAGCAGCTGCATAAACTGATTACTGTGTATTTTTAAGTCAAAAACCAGATGGGATAGCTACTGAGGAGTACAGCCATGCTCGTAAAATGCAAGTTGTCTACTTCCTGAGGCATGAATAAAGCTTTAGCAAGGGTTCTCCATATATTTTCCAAACTATTTTGTAGAAATTACATCAATGCCTAGTGGAAAACTCATGCTGTAATCTAGTGGCAAAGACTCAAAGACCACTGGACTGTCTGACATTGAGTAAACCAGTCTGTAACACAGAGGAGAAGCAAGCATGCCCCCCAGCTTTTTCTGTATAATCCACTGTGCTTTCCCAGATCAGACTCCTATTTCAAGGGTTTATGTTTTGATTAAAAGTTGCTTACAGCATATAATTTTATTTAAGGAGTAACAATCCCTCTTTTATACTACCTTTTATCTTCTTCCAAGGGATGTCAACGTTGCATATCCCCAAGCTCATGGGAAGTTTTAGCATGTAGCTTGACTGTTCAGAAAGTAATTAGACAACTTCACCAGCAACTGGAGCATAGTAGAAAATACTGATAGGACACCTTGGCTGTAACCTGCTGCTAACAGGCAGGAGTAAGACGTGCCTGTTTTTCAACTAGTTGAAGGCTAGAATTGCTAAGGAGTTCAGGAACTTCTGCCAGGTATTTTGAAATCTAACTTTTTTTCCAGAGTAAACAAGATTTGTACAAGGATTATGAGATAAACTACATATTTGTGCTAACTAACAGAATGTTGCTTCATTCTCTAGACAAATAAGCACATATTTACATAATGCTGTACATGAGACCCTTGGCTTAAAAACACTTAAGCTGCAGTTACCTTTTCTATATGTAAACCAGGGTGATTCTGTTTTTACCAGCAATACTGAGCTGTATGTTGGTTATTTACAAAATACACACAAAAGGTCCTTAAGAACAGGGCTCTTTCTAGAACTGAAGAGTCCTAGGCACTAACTAACTTGAGCATTCCTATCTGTAGCTCACTCAGACACACTAGAGATAAGAGACTAAGGACAAAGTTAAACATACTTCAGATATATGGAGTTAAACAAAGGGCTGAGGAGAAGCACAAGCTGCTTTTATTAAAGGGCAAATGCTATCTTAAAGAACAAACACACACATTTTTAAGTCCTTTTCAAAGTGCCAGACAGCAAATTAAACTTCCTAATTATAAAAGAAAAAAAAAAGGGGGGGGGGGGGAAATGACATGACTGCGTTCCTTATTCTGTATATATCATATATTCAAATCTAGTGTCTTACATTATGAAGATAAAGACAGGCTAAGGTTCTTAGTAGGGCTGTCAGCACTATTGGTGCCTCTTTCGAAACAGCAGGTTTCTCAAAGAAACAGTTCATAGATACTAAGCATCTGATCTTCTGGCTAACATCCACATGATAGTCTTAGAAAGCCTTCCACTTCTAACATGAATAAAGCTCACAGTTGCAGCATCCTATTTGCACAGTTTTATGTCAGCACAGTGCAGGGAAATCTGCCTTGCAAGACTAGCTTGCACAGGCCTGTGTTCACTTTACCATCGTCACCCTTTGACTGGGACAGAGGGAAAACATCTCGTTAAAGACATGTAACTTACTTTGGTGAAAAGGAATCTTATGAAGCAAGCTGGAGCTCCTAGAGATTCAGAACAGGGACTAGTGATTACCAACCATCTAATTAGCATTCTGGTTTCTGGACTGTTGTACACCTGGGCAAAGGTAAGCATTTAGCCACCCAAACCCACAAAAATATACCAAAACAGATGGTTTAAAAAAGAAAGGAAATGGACTTACTGCATGTGTGTAACAGTTCGCAGCATGCTCATAGCAAGTGGGTTTGTAGCGGCTGTTTGCTGGAGCCGGGTGGTTCATGAACCTGTTGAATAATGAAGAGGAGGTATTTTTATGAACGTTAATAAACCATCTCTTTGGAGCGTCATGGAGGAATACCTCCAACCTAGTCGTGTTAAAAATGGTAAGTACAGACATGTTAAAAGTACCTTATTTAAATCGTATACTCTCCCAGGTAAGTTCTCTTAACAGAAACATGTTACATACATTTCTGTGACTGCCTGTCACAGCAAAGTTATCTTTAACCAAGTCTTTGCGTACAGAAGTCAGACCCGCTCTTTTCTGACAGCTTGGTTAGATGAAGAATCAACTATTTCCTATTTATATTACATAATATGGGCTCAAATTACTCTTGAAATATGGGCTTCATAACTGCCACAGATTACTCTTTTAAAAAGTTTCTGAAACTACAGCAATATTCCAGTTCTATAACACCTTGGAATAAACCAACTTGAACACTGACTTTTCAATTCCTACAGCTACTGATATTTGTGTTTGGAGCGTTGGTTGGTTCCATTTTTCTTTGAGGCTCATCCTATCTTCTGCCTCTAGTAAGATTCAAGCTACATAGAGATGAAAGGAGACTCTAATGGTTAACTCCAAAGAGGAAACATTTCGAGAGGCTTACCATAGACCTTCCACCTTTTTCTCTAAGAATTTTCAAACATTGCCCAACAAACAATCACACCAAACACAGCCTGTGCAAGCCAAAGGGAATATGATGAAACCTGAGAAAGCTTTGGAAGAACTTGCCAATACAAACATCACATTTATCCTAAAAAACCAAACACTTGTTTCTGTGAGACTACACAGTTCAAATCTGTGTATAAAAACCTCTGTAAGACAGCACACATTTATATGCCATCAGACAGCCAAATTAAAGCTATGAACTACTACATCTACAGCACCATGTATGTTATCCCAGCACAGCCTACCATCATGCAAAAGTGATTCTCTTCCACTAACAAATTCCAGCTTACTGCAGCCTATTATAAAACTATGCATTGACAATTAGTCAAGTATCAAACAAGCCAGGAACAGCTTCACAACAAATAGAGAACACATCTGTGTGCTCAGCACTGAGAACAGCTTTGTTAGCTAGATGTATGTAAAGAGCTTGTTAGACAAATTTGGGCCTTCCCCCATGTCCCTCCTGGTTTAAGTCAAACCCAGTCCTGTTTTTATGACACCGATAAAATATTAGCCAATCTCAAACCAGGACAAAAACAACCAACCCAAAAAAAGCCAACCAGAACCTTACAGTTTGAGTAAGCAGTTCCAGATTTCTGGGATGTAAGAGATTTTGTTTTCTTGGTTGATTTATTTGTAAACCTTTTTTTCTAAACATGTATGAAAGTTTCACAGCACTGATAAAACAGCAGTGCCATCATCTCTCTCCAAATTGTGGCAATTTCAGAATCAGTTTTAACTGTTACTAATACAAAGGATAAGAAAAATGTGCATTTCATTCACAGCCCATGAGTATAAATGGTTGTTAGCAAATGAGCAATTCCACAGGAGTTAATATGTTGTTAAAAACTGGCAAGTCTTTGTCAGTGACAATCACACCTTGCTCTCATCTCCAAGAGGATAATGATATCGTACTCATATACATTTGCAAACTAATTTTGTTGCCCAGTGCATGCAGGTCTTCAACAGCTGCTGAAGACCACCCCAGCATCCTCTAAACACAGAACATTCAGTTACTCAGTTCTGCTTCCAAGTTAGGAAATCATTTTGAAATAAAAGCATCTGTTGGCTCACTTGAGTGACCAGGATTAGACTGCCCCTGACCCACTCCATAAATCCAGAGCCATGGGAAACCTTTCCCTGACGGCATCTAGAATTTTATGTTCTCCAAAGACCATGGTGATACTTTGGAAGTCTCACAAGAAGTAAAAAATAGTAATTAAAAAAATAATAAAAGGAATAAGCTTATCCTCAGTATGAGCTTTACCATTTCTGTTGATCCAAATTTCTACACAAGATATTATTATAATCTAAAAATCTATAAACAACTGAAGGTAGCCTGCTCATGGGACCTTCCATTATCCAGTAGAGGATTACTTCTGAGTTTTTTACTTTTCACTCGTATTTATTTGATAGGATCTTTTCTACTGGATCTTTCTAAAGCAGTCACAACAGAGCCTGGGGTGACATTAGATTTTAGATAGAATTCTGAACAAGTACTTCAGGAAAGTCCATTTATTATTAGGACCCCTTACCCTCACTGATTTAAAGACAGTATTATTAGCAGTAAAACTGGACACAGACATGAACAAAGCTATCCTTTCTCTGTTATCTACACAAAGAGTTGGGGTTTTCCCCTTTCTTTGTGCCAGCACAGGAATGATGCAAATAGTCATTCATTTGTGTGGTTACTTCAGGCCGGAAAAGACAAGCACCTGGTTTCAGAAGACTTTACACTTACAAAACATTTCAAACTTCTTTTTCTTTTTAATTACTGTATATTTCAGTTCTGATTATTTAAAACAACAACAACAACTGGTTGTTGAACAAAGTTTTACTGGACTTCCACAACTGCTGGAACTTACTTTTCATCCAGCAGAGAGTTCTAGCAGAACACCACCAAAAGCAACACTTTACCCATCCCCTTCACCTACATGTTTACACTAATAACACCAGCACCAGTACTGTGTTGGGTTTGGGCAGCAGAGGAAGTGTTAGACTTTACCTTCTGCCTTATAAAAAAAGGATCTCACAATCCCCCAATACCTAACTTTGATGGACACCTGACATACCTGAACCTGTCCTTTCTGAAGGGCATCGACTGCAAGACCCAGACAGCAAATGCTGGAGCACATTTGCTCAGGTCACTACTCACAGCCATTTTCAGTAAAGCAAAACTTTAGTTATTTCCCTATGCCTTTTTACAACACTATTTAGAAAAGTTATCAGAAACAACTTTAGAGGAAAGGTCATTTAAAAAGTAGCTGAATAGGGCAATAATTCCAGTCACTGCTTCTCTTGAGTTTGTTTCATTTCCAGTTTGACAGCTGATGTTAAATGTCTTAAGAAACAGATCTGAAGTTTGAAAATAGCTGCTTAGTGATACTACACTGAAGTATGCATCAAACCCAGGAACAATTATTTTGCCACATACTATTAACAGTCAGTCATATACTCCAGTGTGTATGATATTACAATATGAAGGCAGAAGAATTTGGTTGCAGACTTATTCAGTCTAGAGGCAAAACTGTTCTGTTCTTTCTTAAAGACAAATAAATAAATAAACCTCACACCACCAACAACAATGGATGCTTTTTGTTTCCTGCCACATGAATGCCACAACACAGGGACATCGTTTTTCCTCCTATCTACAGATCAAGTTTGCCTCTTCTAGAAAAGATAATTGTGAGGAATATAATCTCACCTTCCTAGAAGTAGAAACTTGATATAACAGCCTTCAGATGCTGTTTGCTTCCAAATGAAGGCTCTCTATAGCACAATCATTATGGCTATTATCAAACGCAGGAGAAGGTCCCACTGAACTGGACTACGTTTTACAGGAAACATCTTTAAGTGAAGCCTTTTGATTCTCCAACAGATCTCTAATGTATTCTTTAGTAGGAGCTCCAGTGAAAACTGGAGTGATTTAATCAGGGGATGCAGCATTATGTCACAGGAACACAGAAATACGTCTCCATTTAAGATACAATCCAAGATCTCTGAGGATAAATTATTAACTCCTGGAATATCTGAATATGAAGTTTCCGAAACGAACAGCCTAGGAACATGGGAGCAGAATGCTTTTGCACTGAACCGGGTTATGAGATCATTTTCACAAATTAAATCTATTCTTAAAGCTCAAGATCTACTTGAGGCCAAGGAGGTCCAAGCTTCATAACTTCACAGCATGCAAAAGCCTTTCATGAACACATTCCCAATGTAAGTGGAAAAGGGGTACTGAGAAAGACATACGAGCTTTTAAAACAAGAGAGAAAAAAATACCCTTCCCTGTATACTACTTGAATGTAGAGCTTGAAACACTTTAGATATTTACAATATTAAACATATGGACTGATCCATTCATTGCGAGACCCCCGATTTCCAGTTCCTATTCATTTCCATGGAGCAGATGCTGTATGTTTCATAGTGATTCCAGCAAGCAGCAGGAAAATCTGAGGTTTCTTAATGCTTTGTCTTTACATGCAAACCAGCTTAGAAAAATAAATGATAAAATCCCAAATCTATTGCACATATGTGTCTGGAATTTGTCTGGTATCACAGTTTATGCCCCAAACTGCAGAAGAGAAAAACCTTTTCAAATCTTGCCTTATTCTTGAGTCCCATCTGCTGAATAAATTATTCTTTTAAGAATGTCAGTAAAAAACAGCAAGCACTGATAATAGCCTCAAAGATCTGGATTTTTAGTCTTTTCAGGAAGTCCATTTCCTTTGTACAGCTCAAAAGGCCTCATACTTCCTTTTAGCAGCTTAAAAGCACATTACCCCTTTTTGTATCTCTTTTTCTTGTGCTTTCCAGCAGCAGGAGAGGCCATTTAGATGTAATAAACCACAAATAATAGCATCTGAGGAACTGCAACAAGATGGTAATAACTCCACAAAACTGGCAGCGCCAGCGTACATTAAATGGGGTTACATATTTAGATACTGAAGCAATTTTCATGTTACCTAGGCTCTTTGTTTTAGAGAGTTAAAAACAAAGCCGAAAAGTCACAAGCATGTCAAAAGAGGTCAGCACTACATTTTCCTGATGACCATTTAGGTGAGATCTTGAAAAGAAACAAATAGATTTATGAAAAGCTTGCTTTCTTTGTCCAAATTGGCAGATATTTCCTATATACAATTTCAGATCATTCAGTTAAAAAAAAGCATCGTATTCCTCTGGACTAGCACCTTCCTTCCTGGATTAGAAAACATCTAGTTGTGGTTTGTAACTGTTCACATAATCTTTGCTATCACTGAACAACTGAGTCACAGAACTAACTCAGATCTGCACAGCAGCAGACCACTTATTTGGAAATATCAGTGAAATCACATG